TATACAGAACCCACACAGAGACCAAGCCTGGCACACAGTGTATACAGAACCCACACAGAGACCAAGCCTGGCACACGGTGTATACAGAACCCAGATAGAGACCAAGCCTGGCACACGGTGTATACAGAACCCACAGAGACCAAGCCTGGCACACAGTGTATACAGAACCCACATAGAGACCAAGCCTGGCACACAGTGTATACAGAACCCACATAGAGACCAAGCCTGGCACACAGTGTATACAGAACCCACATAGAGACCAAGCCTGGCACACAGTGTATACAGAACCCACATAGAGACCAAGCCTGGCACACAGTGTATACAGAGATCATACTTGGCATAAGGATTGATAGTGCCAATTATTGATGGTATGCAATGTATACAGATCCTATAAACAGACTGCCAGTGCTCCCAATGATGCCCCCCTATGAAAGTGCTCCCTATCCTCTCAATGCCTCCAGTGATGTCCCCTATGGCAGTGCTCCCTCTCCCCTCAATGCCCCCAGTGATGCCCCTATCTCCTCAATGCCCCCAGTGATGCCCCCTATGGCAGTGCTCCCTCCCCCCTGTGCTGATAGTGATTCCCCCTATGGCAGTACTCCCTCCCCCCTGTGCTGATAGTGATTCCCCCTATGGCAGTAGTACTCCCTCCCCCTGAGTGCCTCCAGTGATGCCCACTACAGAAGTGCTCCTCCCCCCTCAATGCCCCCAGTGCTTCCTCCCCCCTCAGTGCCCACTATGGCAGTGCTCCCTCCCTCCTTTGTGCCCCCAGTGATGCCTATTACAGCAGTGCTCCCTCCCCCCTCAGTGCCCCCAGTGATGCCCCTATGGCAGTGCTTCCTCCCCCCTCAGTGCCCACTATGACAGTGCTCCCTCCCTCTTCAGTGCCCCCTATGGCAGTGCTCCCTCTTCCCTTTGTGCTCCTAGTGATGCCCCCTATGGCAGTGCTCCCTCCCCCCTCAGTGCCCCCTGTGATGCCTACTATAGCAGTGCTCCCTCCCACCTCAGTGCCCCCAGTGATGCCCCCTACAGCAGTGCTTCCTCCCCCCTCAGTGCTCCCAGTGATGCCCCAATGGAAGTGCTCCCTCCCCCTCAGTGCCCCCAGTGATACCCCCTATAGCAGTTCTCACTTCCCCCTCAGTGATGCCCCCTATGACAATGCTCCCTCCACTCTCTGTGCCCTCAGTGATGCCCCCTATGGTCATGCTCCCTCCCCCTTCAGTGCTCCCAGTGCTCCATCCCCCTCAGTGCCCCCAGTGATGCCCCTATGGCAGTGCTCCCTCCCTCTCAGTGCCCCACAGTGATGCCCCTATGGCAGTGCTCCCTCCCCTTTCAGTGCCCCCCAGCGATACCCCTGTGGCAGTGCTCCCTCCCCCTCCGTGCCTCCAGTGATACCCCCTATTGTAATGCTCACTCCCCCCTCGATGCCCCCAGTGATGCCCCCTATGGCAATGCTCCCTCCCCCCTCAGTGCCCGCAGTGATGCCCCCCTATGGTTGTGCTCCCTCCCCCCTCAGTGCCCCAAGTGATACTCCCTATGGCATTGCTCCCTCCCCCCTCAGTGCCCCCAGTGATGCCCTCCTATGGTTTTGTATGGTTGTGCTCCCTCCCCCTCCAGTGCCCCCGTGATACCCCCCTATTGTCATGCCCCCAGTGATGCCACCTATGGCAGTGATACCTCCCCTTTAAATGCCCCCAGTGATGCCCCCTATAGCAGTGCTCCCTCCCCCTCAGTGCCCCCATTGATGTCCCTATGGCAGTGCTCCCTTCCCCTTAGGTGCCCCCAGTGGTGCTCCTGTGACAGTGCTCCTGCACCCCCTCAGTGCCCACCCAGTGATGCCCCCTATGGCAGTGCTCTTTCCTCCCTCAGTGCCCCCAGTGATACCCCCCTATTGTTGTGCCCCCCAGTGATGCTACCTATGGCAGTGCTAACTCCCCCTTCAGTGTCCCCAATGATACCCCCATATTGTCATGCCCGCCTAGTGATGCCCCCTATGGCAGTGCTACCTCCCGCTTCAGTGCCCCCAGTGATGCCCCCCTATTGTCATGCCCCCAGTGATGCCCCCTATGGCAGTGCTCCCTCCGCCCTGTGCTGATAGTGATTCCCCCTATGGCAGTACTCCCTCCCCCCTGAGTGCCTCCAGTGATGCCCACTGCAGCAGTGCTTCTCCCCCCTCAATGCCCCCAGTGATGCCCCCTATGGCAGTGCTTCCTCCCCCCTCAGTGCCCACTATGGCAGTGCTCCCTCCCTCCTTTGTGCCCCCAGTGATGCCTATTACAGCAGTGCTCCCTCCCCCCTCAGTGCCCCAAGTGATACCCCCTATGGCAGTGCTCCCTCCCCCCTCAGTGCCCCCAGTGATGCCCTCCTATGGTTGTGTATGGTTGTGCTCCCTTCCCCTTCAGTGCCCCCCCGTGATAGCCCCCTATTGTCATGCCCCCAGTGATGCCCCCTATGGCAGTAATACCTCCCCTTTAAGTGCCCCCAGTGATGCCCCCTATAGCAGTGCTCCCTCCCCCTCAGTGCCCCCAGTGATGTCCCTATGGCAGTGCTCCCTTCCCCTTCAGTGCCCCCAGTGATGCTCCTGTGACAGTGCTCCTTCACCCCCTCAGTGCCCACCCAGTGATGCCCCCTATGGCAGTGCTCCTTCCCCTCTCAGTGCCCCCAGTGATACCCCCCTATTGTCGTGCCCCCCAGTGGTACCTCCTACAGTCATGCTTCCTCCCCCTCAGTGCCCCCAGTGATGCCCCTATGGCAGTGCTCCCTTCCCCTTCATTGCCCCCCAGTGATGCTCCTGTGACAGTGCTCCTTCACCCCCTCAGTGCCCACCCAGTGATGCCCCCTATGGCAGTGCTCCTTCCGCCCTCAGTGCCCCCAGTGATACCCCCCTATTGCCGTGCCCCCCAGTGGTGCCTCCTACAGTCATGCTCCCTCCCCCTCAGTGCCCCCAGTGATGCCTATACCAGTGCTCCCTCCCCCCTCAGTGCCCCCCCCCAGTGATGCCCCCTATGGTCATGCTTCTTCCCCCTCAGTGGCCCCAGTGATGTATCCCTATACCAGTGCTCCCTCCCCCTCAGTGCCTCCAGTGGTGACTACTACGGTCATGCTCCCTCCCGCCTTGGTGCCCCCCAGTGATGCCCCCCTATGGGAGTGCTCCTTCCCCCCTCAGTGCCTCCAGAAATGCCCCCTATGGCAGTGCTCCCTCTCCCCTCGATGCACCCCAGTGATACCCCCCCTATGGTCATGCTCCCTCCTCCCTCAGTGCCCCCAGTGATGCCCCCTATGGCAGTGCTCCCACACTCCCTTCAGTACCCCCAGTGATGTCCTCTATGGAAACGTTTCTTCCCCCCTCAGTGCCTCCAGTGATGCCCCCTATGGTTGTGCACCCTCCCCCCTCAGTGCCCCCAGTGATGCCCCTGTAGCAGTGCTCCCTCCCCCTCACTGCCCCCAGTGATGCCCCTATGGTCATGCTCCCTCCCCCCTCAGTGCCCCCATAGTGATGCCCCCTATGGGAATGCTCTGCAACCCCCCCTCAGTGATGCCCCCTATGGTTGTACTCCCTTCTGCCTTGGTGCTCCCCAGTGATGCCCCCTATAGGGGTGCTCCTTTTCCCCCTCAGAGCCTCCAGAAATGCCCCCCTATGGCAGTGCTCCCTCCCCCCTGAGTGATGTCCCCATATGGCAGTGTTTTCTCCCCCTCAGTGCCCCCAGTGATGCCCCCCTATGGCAGCGCTCCCTCCCCCCTCAGTGCCCCCAGTGATGTCCCCCTATGGTCATGCTCCCTCCCCCCTCAGTGCCCCCCTATGGCAGTGCTCCCTCTCCCCTTGATGCCCCCTATGGTTATGCTCCCTCCCCCCTCGGTGCCCCCAGTGATGCCCCCTATGGCAGTGTTCCCTACCACCTCGGTGCCCCCCCAGTGATGCCCCCTATGGCAGTGCTCCCCCCCTCAGTGCCCCCAGTGATGCTGCCTATAGCAGTCCTCCCTCCCCCCTTGATGCCCCCCTATGGCAGTGCTCCCTCCCCCCTCAATGCCCCCCAGTGATGCCCCCTATGGTCATGCTCCCTCCCCCTCAATGCCCCCAGTGATGCCCACTATGGCAGTGCTCCCTCCCCCTCAGTGCCCCCCAGTGATGCCCCCCTATGGCAGTGCTCCCTCCTCCCTCGGTGCCCCCCAGTGATGCCCCCCTATGGCAGTGCTCCCTCCCCCTCAGTGCCCCCCTATGGCAGTTCTCCCTCCCCCCTCGATGCCCCCTATGGTCATGCTCCCTCCCCCTCAGTGCCCCCCAGTGATGCACCCCTATGGCAGTGCTCACTGCCCCCTCCATGCCCCCCAGTGATGCCCCCCTATGGTCATGCTCCCTCCCCCTCAGTGCCCCCAGTGATGCCCCCCTATGGCAGTGCTCCCTCCTCCCTCGGTGCCCCCCAGTGATGCCCCCCTATGGCAGTGCTCCCTCCCCCTCAGTGCCCCCCTATGGCAGTTCTCCCTCCCCCCTCGATGCCCCCTATGGTCATGCTCCCTCCCCCTCAGTGCCCCCCAGTGATGCACCCCTATGGCAGTGCTCACTGCCCCCTCCATGCCCCCCAGTGATGCCCCCCTATGGTCATGCTCCCTCCCCCTCAGTGCCCCCAGTGATGCCCCCCTATGGCAGTGCTCCCTCCTCCCTCGGTGCCCCCCAGTGATGCCCCCCTATGGCAGTGCTCCCTCCCCCTCAGTGCCCCCCTATGGCAGTTCTCCCTCCCCCCTCGATGCCCCCTATGGTCATGCTCCCTCCCCCTCAGTGCCCCCCAGTGATGCCCCCCTATGGCAGTGCTCACTGCCCCCTCCATGCCCCCCAGTGATGCCCCCCTATGGTCATGCTCCCTCCCCCTCAGTGCCCCCAGTGATGCCCCCCTATGGCAGTGCTCACTCCCCCCTCGATGCCCCCTAGTGATGCCCCCCTATGGTCATGCTCCCTCCCCCTCAGTGCCCCCAGTGATGTCCCTCCCCACCCCCCCGGTTGGTACCTGCCCACAGCTGGATCTTGTGCCGCAGCAGTCTCATGGCACAATGCAGAGCACTCACCGTCTCCGGGCACACAGCCGCGTCTGCCAGCTGATCAGTGCTGCGTCACTGTGCAGAAGAGGGCGGAGCCGGCTGTCAATTGTCTGCCCCACCGGGAGCCGCCCTGCCCGGTGTTACAGTGAATTCTGGATCCCGGGGGAATTCTGCGCCCCTCCGCTGCCGTGACATGCGCTGATTCCGAACTGTGCAATCAAGTGATGGTGACGTGGTGGGGGATGGAGCCGAACGGGCAGCGCACATCCATTAACCCCACCGCTGCCGGGAAGAGAGTCGAGCGACAATTGTCACTGCGCCCCCCGCCGGAGAACCTCGCTATGGAACCAGCGGGCGCTGCCTACAGCCGCATTCCCTATGGAGAGGAGGGGACCTTTCATCCGACACCCCCACTTCTAGTAGCGTCCGCTCCCCCGCTGTATCAGCAGATCTCCGACCATTCCAACTGGTCGTTGTTCCTGGGGGGGGGATTGGGTGTATGGGGGCTGCAACTGAATGTCTGACCTTCTGGGATTTAAGTGGAGGGGTGTTCGAGGGACAGGGTAGGGTGTCAGTGGTGGGGGAGGAGTGAGTCTGATGTGGCAGTGGTTGGAGGTAGGTGGGTGTCAGTCTCAGGTGTCAGTTGGAGGTAGGCGGGTGTCAGTCTCAGGTGTTAGTGGTTGGGGGGTGTCAGTGGTTGGAGGTTGGCAGGTGTCAGTCTGAGGTGTCACTGGTTGGGGGTAGGCGGGTGGCAGTGGTTGGGGCTAGGCGGGTGTTTGTGATTGGGGGTAGGCGGGTTTCAGTGGTTGGGGGCAGGTAGGTGTCAGAGGGTGTTGAATGTACCATAAGTTTGTCGATGTGATGGGGTGGTGTTGATGACACCCACTTTCCCCCAACCACTGACACCCTATACTGATAGATACCCGCCTACATCCAACTGCTGACACTCCAGTCCAACACCTGCCTACCCCCAACTACTGACATCTCAGACTGACACCCCCAAACCTCACCTCCCCTGCACCCTTAGCCACTGACACCCCAGAACAATGCCAGCCCACCCCCAACTACTGAACCACACACTCACACCACTCCCCCCAAAGCACTGACACCCCAGACTGATAGACCCCCACCCTCTCCCACTGACACCCCAGAACAATGCCAGCCCACCCCCAACTACTGAACCCCACACTCACACCACTCCCCCCAATGCACTGACACCCCATACTGATAGACCACCCTCTCCCACTGACACCACAGACTGATAGACCCCCACCCTCTCCCACTGACACCCCAGACTGATAGACCCCCACCCTCTCCCACTGACACCCCAGACCGATGCCAGCCCACCCCCAACTACTGAACCCCACACTCACACCACTCCCCCCAATGCACTAACACCCCAGACTGATAGACCCTCTCTCCCACTGACACCCCAGACCGATGCCAGCCCACCCCCAACTACTGAACCCCACACTCACCACTCCCCCCAATGCACTAATACCCCAGACTGATAGACCCCCACCCTCCCACTGACACCCCAGACTGACACGCCTCAGAAAGTAAGACAACCAACTGCAATGCCCATCCCCCTCCCACAGACTGAGACAATTGACACTCCAGACTGACACCCACCAACTACTAAAACTCCAGATTGATGCCCGCCCCCCATTACTAACTACTGACACCTCTTCAAACACCTCTCCAAACACTTAAATCTCAGAAAGTCAGACAATTGCAACCCCCCCTTCCTAGCCAACAACTACCAGCTGGAGTGATCAGAGATACAATCATACAGCAGCGGGAGAGGAGGCTGCTGGGGGGGGGGGGTGATCGGATGAAACATCCCTTCCTCTCCCTGCGACATGTTGCTTTAAGTAGCGCCCGCTGGTTACACAGTGAAGTTATCCAGCAGTTGTGAGGTTAAATTGTGTGCGGCCCGCTCAGTCTCCTCGCAGGCACCTGTGGGGTTAATTGATGTCTGTGGCTGTTCCACTCCCATTTGCTCTCCTCTGTGAGCAAATCTGCTCGGCAGTTGAGGGGTTAATTGGTTTCCGCTGTTCGTTCAGATCCTTCCCGCACTATGTCCCGATCACTTGATGAAAAGGTTCTGAATTGGAGCATGTGAAGGGGGCGCAGAAAGTGCCAAATGTACTGCTACACCAGCATCTGCCCCCACTCCCCTCCCCACTCTGCCATTCACTGCTTCCTGGCATTTTTCAGGGTGGAGTCTCCCTCACAGTGTATGACTCACCCCTCCTTGGTATCATTCATTGTGGAGCCCCCCTCCCCAGGGTCACCCCTCCCTGGCATCATTCTGTGTGGAGCCTCCCACCCCAGGGTGCCAGTGACCCCTCCCTGGCATCATTCATGGAGGAGTCTTCCTCCCCAGTATGTCACTTACCCCTCCCTGGCATAATTCATGGAGCCTCCCTTTCCACTTTGTCATTCAACTTTCCTTTCCCTCCCTTGCACCATTCAGGGTAGAACCTCCCTCCCTATTCTGCCACCCTGGCATCATTCACCTCCCTACCCACTGTGCCACTCACCCCTCCCTGGCTTCATTAAAGGTACAGCCTCCTCACTGTGCCACTCGCCTTTCTCTGGCATCATTCAGGGCGGAGCCACCCTCCTCAATATATCAGTCACCCCTCTCTAATATTATTTTGTATGGAGCCTCCCTCCCTAGTGTGCCATTCACCCATCCCCATAATAATTCAGGGTAGATCTTTCCCCATTATTGACAAGTCTATTGTCTACGACAGTGGTCTCCAAATTGCGGCCTGGGGGCAGAATGCTGCCCTTTGCTTGCCTTTATCCAGCCCTTGGTGCACTATTCCTCCTATTGACACCAAAACGGGGCATAATTCCTGCCACTGACACCAACGGTGGGACACTATTCCTCCCACTGACACAAACAGTGGGGCACTATTCTTTCCCACTGACACCAATAATTGGGTACAATACCTCTCATGGACACCAATGATGGGGCATTGTTAACAACACCAGGACATTTTCTATTCCTATTGGCCACAGTCTGGCCTCTTTAAAGTCTGAAGGAGAATAAACTGGCCCTTTGTTTAGAAAGTTTAGAGACCCCTGGTCTAAGACAACACACCCAGATCCTTCCCCATCATTGACTTCAGTCTATGATTAGAGTTAGTCTAGGATCTAATTCTATGGTCTACCAGAACATCCTTATCCTTCTCCAACTCTAACTCCACGTTTTTGGTCTGTCCAGATCCTTCCCCATCATTGACACCAAGTCTATGGTCTACCAGAGCAGCCAGCTCATTCTCCCTCATTTACTTCAAGTCTATGGTCTACCAGAAAACCCAGACCTTTCTCCATCATTAACTCAAAGTCTACTATTTATCAGAACACCCACATTTTTACCTATTATTAATTCCAAGTCTGTTATCTATCAGAACACCCAGATCCTTCTATGCCCACACCATCATTGACTCCAAGTCTATGATGTACCACAACACCCAGATATTTCACCATCATTGACTCCAAGTCTATGATGTACCACAACACCCAGATATCTTTCACCATCATTGACTTCCAAGTCTATGATCTACCAGAACACCCAGATCTTTCACCATCATTGACTCCAAGTCTATGATCTACCAGAACACCCAGATTTTTCACCATTATTGACTTCCAAGTCTATGATCTACCAGAACACCCAGATCTTTCACCATCATTGACTCCAAGTCTATGATCTACCAGAACACCCAGATCTTTCACCATCATTGACTCCAAGTCTATGATCTACCAGAACACCCAGATATTTCACCATTATTGACTTCCAAGTCTATGATCTACCACAACTCCCAGATCTTTCACCATCATTGACTCCAAGTCTATGATCTACCAGAACACCCAGATCTTTCACCATCATTGACTCCAAGTCTATGATCTACCAAAACACCCAGATTTTTCACCATTATTGGACTCCAAGTCTATGATCTACCAAACACCCAGATCTTTCACCATCATTGACTCCAAGTCTATGATCTACCAAAACACCCAGATCTTTCACCATTATGGACTCCAAGTCTATGATCTACCAAAACACCCAGATCTTTCACCATCATTGACTCCAAGTCTATGATCTACCAGAAAATCCAGATCATTCAACAACAATCTAGTGTTAGGTAAAACCAAGCTTTCATGGATTATGATTCATGAGAAAATGGTGAGCATTTTCATGACAGAATATCAGAGTATGGGCTCGTTCACACTTGACTGTTTTACCAACTCTTGCCAAACGCCCCTATAGTGTTTGGCAAGCGTTGGTCCGGCGTTTGTGGAGCGTTTTTTAACGCTCGGCAAATGCTCTGCAAACGCCGCATGCGCGGTTCAGCGGCGGTTGCTAGGCGTTTGCCGAGCGTTAAAAACGCCCTACAAACGCCTATAATGAAGTTTGAATGGTATTACTGCTTCGCAAACGCCCCGCAACCGCGTCGCAACCGCACCGCAAACGCCTGGCACCGTAGACTAGAATAGGAGGCTTCAACGCCTCCTAACTCGACCAGAGGCGTCCGTTTTTCCGCAACGCGACACTAACGCTCCCGTTAGAACAGCACCATGTGCTGCAATGTGCAGAATTGTCCGAGGCGTTTAGGAAGCGGTAAAAACGCTTCCCAAACACCTTTCTGCCGCCTGCACACAACGCTAGTGTGAACGTAGCCTATGAGGAAACTGAGGACCTCATCAATAAGGCCCCATTTCCATCTCGCGATTTGGGATCGTGGGCAGAATAACAACGCCAATACTATTGAACTTTAGGGTGCACCACTAATGACACTGAACCTTGGGACAGACCACTAATGACATACCTTGGGGTAACCCACTAATAGCACTGATCCCTGGGGTACCCCAATAATAAGACTGAACCTTAGAGTACCCTTGGGGTACACCATAAATAATGTTATACCTTGGAGTACACCACAAACAACACTGCACCTTGGGGTACCAAACAAATAACTCTGATCCCTTGGGGTACATCACTAATCACACTGAACCTTGGGAAAGACCACTAG